GTCTGGGGATCTGACCCAGATGAAGGCCCACTTGGGGGGGGTGTGTGTTTGGGGGGGTGGGGGTGTTAGAACTGGCAAGCAAACAGATCTAGTTTCAGTATAAATGGTTCCAAAGACTGGATGAATGAAACCTCAGTGTGCTCTTCACTTTTGAAAACAATGCATTCTACGCTCAGTCTGTGCTTACTGGCACTGGATGATTAAATGTATAAATAAACAAAGAACATAAAACTGTTAAGATGGCTGAAATTTCTAGAAGCCCCTTTAGCTGAAATGGACGAGGTCCTCCGCAGCCCCATCAGTCTCTACAATGGACGTGCTGGGGAGCAAGTGTTAGCTAAACAGATGGGGAATTTACATAGACATGAAAACAGTGATTAAGCTTCCTGGTAGTGACAAAATAACTAGGTAAATAGTCTAATTTTTCGACAATTTTTTCTCCCTCCTGAAGCAGGGGCATTTAGCGACACTGGAGAGCAGGGTGGACCATGTGGCAATAACCAGGGAGTATCTGCGCCCAAAACTGGGCTGATGGGACAGCTCTGACACCCCCTTATGGGCCACACGTTGGATTTTGGAGTCCCTCCTCCCAGAGCCCTGCATGCCACAGCTCAGTAAAACCCAAAGCTTCAGTTAACCTGCTGCCTTTAGAGTAGAATGGTTACAATTTATGTGGCTTCTTTGGGATTTGAACCCACAACCTTTGCATCGTTAGTGCAATGCTGTACTTGCTGAGCTACAGGAGGCAGACTGCGAGTGTCTTTTATTTATAATAAAATATATGTGCAAAGTGCTCAAAGAGAGCGCGAGGGAAACACCTGCGTGACTCCCCAGAACAGCACACACAGCCTCCCAGAATGACACACTGGTATTTAATCATAAAGCAGCGCAGACCTCTGACTGTTTACTTTCCACTCCTACACACACGTCCGGAAAATTAATCAGACACTAGGTGACCTGAAATGCAATTCCTGGATCAAGTGGCGCCATTAGAAAAACTGAAGATTTTTATTTAAATTATAGCTTCCTTATGCTTTTCAAATCTCAATCATTTAAACATTTAATTATAAGTATAAGCTCATCTGTAGAGATGGCTGTTTTCGTTGATGACACGCATCTCCTGGGAATTATTCCTTTGGTCTCACATCCAGCTGCTTCAATACGGCGCCACCTGAATGAACTTTTCCATCCCAGTTAGTTTACTCAGACCTGCAAATGCAAAACGCTGTGGATAGCGCCTTCTAATACATGCATCAGCCAGCAGGGGGTGTGACAATCATCTAGCTTTCCTGAAATACATACAGAGGGTCTGGATGCAAGCTACAGGTGATGTATTGCTCTTAAGGTCTATTAAAACAGTAGTTATCTGGAATTTCTGCTTACCCCTAACCATCCATCTATCCATCCATCCATCTGTCTCCTAACCGCCGATTCCAGCCAGGGTCGTAGGAAATGATAATGCTCTATTTTCCATAATCGCTTATGGGGGGGGTCAGTCTATCCCAGGCAGCACAGGGCACCAGACCAGGGGGGGGGGGCACACGATGCGATGTCAGTCCACTACAGCCAGCCATTTTTGCTTTAACTAATTTCTATAGGATATCGCAAATTCACTTCTAACTTGTTAGATTGCAAATTCTTGATATCAGGAATTCAGCTTTGACAAGTTAAATTTGTTTGATATCGGAAATTCTATTATAGCTAGTAAGATTCAAAACACTTTTCTCATTCATTTCAGTGGGAGTTGGAATTTTAACTAGTTAAAATGCTAAATCCTGATATCAGCAAGTCAATTATAACTAGATGAAAATCCAATTGAATTTCTGATACTGCATCAAGAATTTGCATTCTATCTAGTTGAATTGAATTTGTGGTATCAAGAATTTGCATTCTATCTAGTTGAATTGAATTTGTGGTATCAAGAATTTGCATTCTATCTAGTTGAATTGAATTTGTGGTATCAAGAATTTGCATTCTATCTAGTTGAAATGAATTTGTGATATCAAGAATTTGCATTCTATCTAGTTGAAATGAATTTGTGATATCCTCTAGAAATGAATTAAAGCTAAAACGGCTTGCCAGTGTCCCCTACCCTCCAGCCTGCAGTCACTGCGGCCACTTCAGACACACCAGTTCAGCGAACCACATCATTCTGGACTCTTGGAAGGAACACGCTCCCTAAGCGGGATTCAGAGCCTCCAGCCTGAAGGTGTGAGGCTAGCTTGCCCCCCCCCATGTCTTCCTGTGAGCTGTACTGCTCCCCCATAATTTGACCTCAGGCACCCCACCCTTGCTCCTGGGGACTCGGATTGCCACCGGGCGGACGCCTGAACACAGGGCGTGGTGCCCTGCTATCAAATAATTTATTCAGTAACCCAAAAACAGCACATCCCGCGCCTCTGCGCCATTAAGATCTGCCACCCCTGCTGTAGCCGGCTGTACTTCCCTCCCTTGTTGCTAAGACTGTTACTAGGTAGCATGGCAGGGATTACAAAGGCGCGGTGCTTTTATGGCGCACGCTGGCTCCGCTGTCAGCAGCACAGAGGGCTGCTCCAAGGATGGCTCAGGAGCATCTGCGAGGACGTCCACCATTCTGGGCCTGAGCCACCTGCACTGGGCTCAGTGTGTGTTTAATTAGCCACACTGCTGCTCTTCGGAGACACAGGTGACAGCTAGATCTTACGCATTTGGAAATGTTTTCACAGTTTGTCTACGACAAATTAAGACTTGAAGCATTGTCTCGTGAGCATTGCCTTACATAACTAAGAGTGTCTGCTGCGTAATCTTTATAATAGATGATATTAATACATGAGTATTTATTATAATCTACTTAATATTTTACTCTTTCATGACAATCTGTTATCCAAATATGTCTGGCACTGGTAGCCTACATTTAAATAGAGGTCAGATGAGCATATCGACGAGAGCCGGGATGTGTTTGACGCAGTTTGAGCTGCGATGGAATTGCCAGTGGACCATAGATATTTGCCGGAGCAAATTGCGATCATCAATGAAATTGCGTTTTCCAGCTTTGGCCAGGAGAGATCACCTTCTTGTTGCATTAGGAGGAAGGGATTCTCAATCTGGGAAACAGGTGGTGCATTTCCAAGAAGGAAAATGTGATATGTCAGTTAGCTTTAAGTGTTTGTAAAACAACAGATTTAGGCAAATTACAAATAAGTGTACCGTGAAATCTAATTTATTGAGTCAGACATGTTCATACAGCCAGAAAATACTTTTGAGCACATCAAAAAGGAGTTTGAATATTTAGCCATTGGTTTGCCTTATTTGTATGTGTAGGTGTAAAGGTTGCCGAGTCGGTTGAACACTGAGGCTTTGAGTGAAGCTCAAGGTTTCAGAATATTGATAAATGAAATTTTGTGGTATTTTACATATTGGTCAGGGACGTGCTGTCCAAGGCATTCCTCTGCCCTACACCCTGAACCTCTTGGGGTAAATTCCAGGCTTCCAAGTCCCTGTTGTATATTACCCATTATAGAAGATGGATTGATACTTGATGTTTCTAAGGCCAGTAGCCATTGCTGGTTGATGGCAAACACTAAGAAGTGAGTACAGGCAGCTCTTTCAGCAGGTGAGACACAAACACTTCATCCACTAAGCTTTCATTTGCGGAGGCTAATTGACTCGATTCTGCTTCAGCATCTGCAGTCGAGAGCTGATGCCTTTGGTTTATTTCAGTGTCACTGGTAGCTTCTAACACCTCAGCATCTGATGCATCTCACAGAAGCTGAGAGTTGCAGTTTCACCCCACAGCAGCTCCTTTCTGATGTTCCCCAAGACATTCTTAGATTTCAGAGCAATTCCTTTTTGTTTATTGTTTGTTTATTTAGGTGTTTTGTTCTCTGCTGTGTGACCCCTGTTGATGCTGCCTAGCTGTTGTAAGCAGTCCAGTTTACCTTGCTTCGTTGTTTTATCTGTGGGACACACGATTATTGCTTTTCTCCACATCTGTGTGATTCCACCTCCCTCAGAGGGGTGTGAAACATCACATGACAACATGGCCTGTGTTGACTTTTTATATAGTCAGAGCCAATTGGCCAATTAATCCCATAGTAATTAATGACTGGGTGGATTGTGACAGAAATAGGGAGGGAGTTTGTGGCAAAGCCAGCAGAGACATCGCTCATTTGAATGCAATTCCAGCTCAAGCCGTGATACATACTAAAATAAATTTTTTTGTTGTCAAATTTAAACTCCAGAAATTAATATTTGACATGGTATGACAACATCAGAGGAAAGATGCTCATAGGTATAATTTGATTTCAGTATTCTGAATCCTACATAATTCATCATATTTTTACAGCACAGGGTACAAACTTAAGATTATAGATGATTTTCGAAGTAATATGGATCCAGAAGTGGTAAGCAAGCTTATAGCTATCTCAAAGCCCAGTGTGCAAAATATTTAGCCAATTGTATGCCATATCTCTGTCACATGCACAAAAGAGTTATTACAAAGATATCCCTTTTCAATGCATCTGTTGTTGCCGTTTTGTTAGCATATCATTGTGTTTTTACTGAATTGACTTGTACCTGGTGTCTCCTGTGAGAAATGTACAGCATGTGGCTCATTGTGTTGCCCTTGTCCCCAGGAGCATCCAGTACAATGGCAGCCACCGTAACGGACGAGGTAAGCCCTCTTGAAGAATTCTCCTGCAGCTGTGAGACTGTGGCACCTGTATCATGCTCTAGAAGTGCATGACATTCATCCAGTGATGTCATTATCACGTCAAACATTGTTTGTGTAATAAACACTGAAAAATGAGTTATGCATGCATGTGAATATTCTTGGTATGCGATTGTTGCCTGAGCCTGTGCCAGTCACACTCGTTATTGATATTTATGTGCATTCTGGTCCTCGTCCTGACTGAGAGCAGGTCTGATGCGATGTCTTATTCTCTCTTTGCTTTCACACGCAGATCCACGTTTTCGCTCGCTAGACTCCGGAGAGTCCGCCGTTAGCAGTAGCCTGAGGAGGCGTGCGGCCATTTCCCCTGGGCCTTCCCTGCTCAGGAGGAAGATCGAGGAACCAGCCGAGACACATTCAAGAGGAACAGCAAGATCGAGTCATTCAGCTGGGCAGCACGGACAGGAGAACGCTTAGAAGGACAGTAGGTTACAGGACGCAGGCACGGTCACAGAGACTGAGGAAGCAGAGAGACCGCAGACCCCCAGAACAGTACAAGGCGCCGGGTTGAGTTGGGGTCCTGAGCAGCCCACGGTGTCCCGGGGTGGTGCTCGGTGACAGTGACACGCCCATGAGCCGGCTGTCGGGGCGGCTACGCTCGGCGGGCGTGCGCCTTGGGTGCGGGGCCCTGGCCGAGGAAGACTGCCTGGAACTGGAGACTCCAGCGCCTTGGGAGAGCCACGAGGGGCATGCTGGGAGCGCAGGGACGCCTCCCCCAGGGGCCGGCTCGGGGGCTTCCATCCACTACAGCTTCTTCTCCTCCCCGTCACTTGCTAACGGGCTGCGCAGCCCCGAGGACCGGCTGCACAAACGGCCCCGCATCGGGGCAAGGAGACGCCGACAGCCAGAGCCCCTGGATGAGGAAGGGCAGGAGGAACACGGCAAGCCCCAGCCAGAACTCCTGCAGGTGCACCAGCAGTTGGGCACCTTACCGCAAGCACACCCAGACCTCCGGATGGAGGTGGAGACCGACTCTGTGACAGACCAACTGGCTTCCATGTCCCCATTGGCTCTTACGGGAGCTGATCAGTCTGACATCTGCACAGCCTCCATCCAGCCGTGTACCCCTCATTACTGCCCAGCCAGTCCTCTTAGCCCCCACCAGAGGGAGCCAGACCCTGAGCCCCCACTAAGCCCTGCAGCGTCTGCCCCGGTTCTGATGCCGTCGCCCATACAAGCCCCTCCCATCATTCCAACCCCCGTTGAGGGCGAGAGGAAATACGCACTGCGCAGCTCAGGGCGGCCGCGTTTCCCCTGCCGACTGCGCAAATCGTCCCGTTTGCGTCGGACGATGGAAGACGAGGGTAAGAAGGAGGAAACAGAGGGTGATGGACCAGGAGAAAGTGACAGGAGCTGTAGAGTAGAGGGTCCAGGGTTCAGTGGTAGGGGTGAGCCCTATCAGCCCAGCGAGGCCAGCATGTCTGGTGACCTTTTGTCCATGTCTCACCACAGTATAGAGTTCTGTGCTGAGACACTGGAGCCTGTCCAAGCCACGGGGCCCCTGTCCTGCCGGGGCCGTCGCCGGGGACGCTGTGTGGGCATGCGCAAAATCGTGGTGAAGGTGGCCCGCATTCCCATCAATCTCAGCCGCCGACAGAAGAGCTACAAAATCTCCTCCCTGGAGCCACCGAGTTTGCCAGTGGGACAAGATGGCAGCGGGGGGCTTGGAGGGGAAGGCGGAGAAGGGCAAGGCATGGGCGACGGTGTGGCAGGGGTTCCCCGTGAGCCAACTGCCTTGCTGAAGATGAAGAACAATGGCAAGAGCGTGATGGTAATGTTCCCCCCCGGGGAACTTCCCGTCATCCTAAAGCGCCGGCGTGGGCGACCTCCGAAGCAAATCGTGCCGGGCCAGCCAGATCTGCGCGAGGCACGGGTCAGCACTGCGCTCTCCGGGGAGCCCAAGAAACCACGCCGGCGACGGAGAGTCAAGCTGCCCTCCCCTCAGCCTTCGTACGTAGCTGACACCAATGACGTCAAAATGGAGTATGGAGACGTGCTCTCCAAATTGGCCTTTCTGAACAGGCAGCCCCCGGCCACAGGGCGCTGCTCTCCGCCTCGCTGCTGGACACCCAGCGAGCCTGAGTCCTTCCACACACCCCCAGAGAACCCAGGTATCTCCACACTGCTGCACAGGCTCACCGGCTTCCGCCGCAGGGGGGGACGGGCTGGCTGCATGGGTGGCCGGGGTGGTGGGGCAGCTGGCTCTGGTGAGGCCTTCAAGAGCTCCTTCAGTGATTTCTTCGAAACCATTGGAAAGAAGCGAAAAGTGCCTCCCGCTGAGCCCGGGCAGCCCCGTAAACGGGGTAAGGGGGTGGCGGCCGGCCTGAGCAGAGCTGCTTTCTTGGGGATGGACCCGGGCAGCCTGGCACCAGGGGAGAAGGGAGTCCGCAAGCGCCGGCCACGCAAGAATGGGGTGCTGAAGCAGGGTCAGCAGGAGCAGGAGTGGTCCAACGGGGGGAGCTGGGGGGGCAAAGGAGGGGGGCAGGAGATCCCCAGTGACAGGGATCGGGGCACAAATTATCAGGGATGCCCGTCCCCCCGCGGTCGCTTTCCTCCCTGCGATATGGGCAAAGGGTTCTACCCCAATCGAGGGGTAAGTGGAGGGGGCGAGGAAGCCCAGGGGCTCTTTGCAGGGTATTTTCGGTCTCTCTTGGACTCTGATGATTCCTCGGACCTGCTGGACATCTCCATGTCTAGCCCCGCCTCTCGCACAGACTCCCGCAAACTGACCCCAGGATATGAGTCCGGCAGTCCCGGGCAGGGCCAGCGCTGGTCTCCTGCCTTCCCCAAAAAGGCACTGAAAAGCCAAAGCCCTGCCAGTGACAGCCCACTTCAGGGCCAGCCCAGCACAGCGGCCCGCCCCCCGTATGGATACAGCATGGCAGAGACCTCCCCAACTAACTCCTTCCCAAAATCCATGCCCCCGGCCCTTTCGCTGTCTCGCTCCCCCAGCTCGCCGCACCCTTCCTCTTCAGGCTTCTCCTCATTCCCCTCTGGCTACGGCAGTGGTCAGCAGTCCACAGGCAGTGGCACTGCATCACTGCCGCAGCAGCAGAGGCTAAGTGACTGCAGCTTTCCCTATGGTGCAGGGATGGGCAAAGGTCCCTCGACCTCCCCCGCTGGCCAGTGTCACATGGGCTACTCTGGCTTTCAGCCATCTCAGACGCCTGTCAAACGAGGCTATGGCGGCTACCCCGGGTCAGCTCATTCTGCCTTATTACGAGGGGAGTCTGGGCACATGACTGGGCCTGCCTCTCCTGGTGGCAGTTACATGACAATGGCAAAGACGAGTCCCTTCTCTTCTTCGTCACCCCCAGACAGCTGCAAGCAGTATCCCTCCTCTCAGTGGGGATATAGACAGGGTTACCAAGGCTGGGGTCCTGACAGTTTTGGGCCCCACCAATACCACGCCTACAGTGACTACTGCACCGGAGGCACCAACGAGTCCAAAGACATCCTGGATATTTCAAACTACACACCACAAAAGGCAAAACAGAGGTCCTTCTCTGAGACGCTCTCCGAGTCCTCCTCTGACTCCTCACACCTGGGGCCCACCGGTGCCAGCATGGGGGGAGGGGCTAGTGGGTACCGTCCACGGGACACCCTGCCTGCAGCTGAGGGCCAGTCCAGTTTGTCCAGCCTAGAGAAACTCATGTTGGACTGGCATGAGAACTCTGCGGGACCCTCCTACAACTGGAGCCAGAGTGTGCTGTTCCAGGGCGGCACAAAACCAGGCCGGGGACGGCGGAAACGCACAGAGTCACAGGCAGACCGAGAGGGCTGTGCACTGAATTTCCCGCCGGCGTCACCCTCCAGCTCCTCTTCGCCTGGCCCAGGGCCCAAGCGCAGCCCGATGGCAGCCCGGGCCCCCCGCGGGACGCGAGGCAGGGGTGGCTTCTCTTCCTGTCAGCGTGAAAGAGCCCCATCGGGGAAGCCGAAAGTGCAGAAGCCCCCCACGACGGCAGCACAGCCTGGCGGGACAGCACTATTCCAGGACACGCTGGACTACTACAGCGGAGACAGCAGCAGCCTGTCGCCACTGCCCTCGCAGACGCAGGGCTTCGGGCTGGATGCCTGCGAATACTCTAGCCCCTACTCCGTCCACCCATCCACCCCGTCCTCTGATGAGCGTTTCTCCCAGCTCTTCCCAGGAGAGACGGCTTCCTTGTCCCCTTGTCCTGAGGCGCTGAAGCCCTACCCGAAGCCGGCACCCCCCCCCGCCTACTCCGTACCTCCGCGAACATTCTCACCCAGTTGCTCCCCTACTCCCCGGCTCCTGTCCTCCTGCAGTGCGGCCCAGAGCCCTCACCGGGCCCCCAGCAAGGACTTCCAGCATTATGACTCTCCCAACTACTGTGGCTCCCCCTGCTGGTACGGCCAGGGGGGGTCGCTGGCCAGCAGCCCACAGAGCTATGACTCTGAGCGCCCCTCTGGTGCCACTCTGCCCCCCCACGGACGGACTGACAAAAGAGAGCTGAGCCAGGCGGGGAGTTCGGGCCTCAGGGCGGGCCCTCCTCCACACTCGCCCTACCCCATCCCTCTCCATCGTGGTTCCTCCTCATCCTCCTGTGCTACAGTCACCCTGGACTCCTCCCCCCTGCCCGAGGACATGGGCTTCACCCTGCACCCTGACAATTACCCCAGTATGCCCCAGCGCTACCCTCCCCAACCAGCGCGGGGCGGGGTCCTGTGCCAGCTGCTGGACCAGCCTGCAGAGGACGGCTTCACCGTCACCAGTCTGTAGGCCTCCGTCGGGTGAGCAGGCCACAGGTAGGACTGCAGCGGGAGCACGTCTTTGATAAGGCAGGAATGTCCATTCATGTGTCCATGTTATCATGGCCCAAGAGTAATTCTAAGCTCGTGACTGGAAGAGGCAACCTTTAATAACCGACTGTACTCTCTCTCTCTCTCTTCTTTTCACTCTCTCTAGGTGCCAGTGCAGTCCATCTCATGCTTTTTCAGATTTTTTACTTTTTTTTTAAAGGAGAATGACTTCTTGAAAAACTTTTTAAATATATTAACAATGGTGGCAATGTTATGTGACAACCGTCGACACATGATTTTCTTCTTAATGGACACACTTCAGCGTGCCCCAGCAGTGACAATCAAGAAATGATGACGCACACACGCACGGTCACACCACACGGACATAAACACACAGCTTGTAGCACACAACACTCATACCCCGGCATCCAGAGACTGTGACTCCACACACTGTCCACACGCGGAGCGGAGCGCACACAGACACACATGTAACCTCTGTGACTGGGGGAGGGGGATCATCCTGACAGGGGGTGGGGGCATGAGATGGGGCAGTAGAGAAAAGAGCCAAAAATGACAAAGGAGTGACAGGTCTGATCGAGGGGACACAAAGACCCTAACTATGAGGACGCTGAGCCTGTCTCCACAGATGCAGTCCAGGTGTGTCAAAGCCCCCACCCCCCGCCTCTGTCACCCTGCAGATCAGTACAGTCTTCTCTGCTTTCTTTTTTCAGTCAATACACAGTTTTATGCTCTCCTCCACAGCTGATCTGACATTTTAATGACTCAAAGAAAGAACTGCGGAAAAATAGTGACCGGCGTTGCTGTCTCTGCTCTCCTCTTGCAGTCTCGACACCATCTCCAGTCACGCTCTCCGAATGATCGACGACCTCACCTCCCCTAACCGCTTCTGCCACCTAGCAACCAGCGATGCCTCCCCCCGCGAGGCTCCTGCACACTCTTACAGCGCTCATACGATACCAGCATCTGTACATAGACTTTGGAAACAAGGGCAAGGAGGGAAAAAAATACAACAAAATGGTGATGTTCTTACAGTAATGTGAAATATGCACTGAAAGGCTTTGCGTTTTACTGTGCAGAGCTGAGCTGCTCGAACCAGTTTGGGCAGACACTGGTGTATGCTAATGTAGATAACTGAGCCCCTGCAGTGGCTGAGGGGTTATGCCCTGGCTCTCACCCCCAGCGCCCCCCCCCCCCCCAAGCCCTTCTCCTGTGCTTTCTGTGACGTTAACTACGGCATGGTCTCACCCTGTAGATTTTGTTTGTTCGTTTGTTTGGTATGTTTTCTTAAAAGAGAACAAAAAAAGACACTAAATATCATGTGCTCACCCCAAAGAATCAGACTTGTGTACGTGTACATACCCCTGTTCGTGCGGGGCGTGGAGAGAGAGAGCGGGTCCGTGGTTCCGGTCCGATGAGAGTGTCGAGTTCTGGATCTCAGGGTGTGGACTGGACTGCCTTCTCCTCTTCTTTTCCTTCTCTGATTTTCTTTTACTCTTTTCTCTGTTTCTTCTTCCCGGTCTCCTAACTGTGTTGTACGGTGATTTGTGTGATGGAATATTGTATCTGTCTGTTACATATCATATCCCTGAGGTGCAAATATTTAAATACACATTTGGTTCTGACCATTGCTAATCCATGCCTGGTCTGAGATTACTTTGGGGGGGGGGGTCTATGCCTTTCATGCTATTCACTGTTTAACTCTCCATGGAGACTCTACCCTTTCACTGGGTTTAATAAGAGCCCAATATTTACCGTCTGCGGTCATCCAAACACACCCGGGGGCGACATCACTGTGTCACAGAGCAAGAGCGGGCAGGTCATCTTCATGTAGAAAAACACTGACGTACTTCTGTGCTTTTCCCAGAATCTGGAAATGCATATGTAGCTTTAACCCGTTTGAATCTCAGAAAGTTGAAAGGAGCAGGTCTAGCTCTGCAATTACCAAAGGCTCTTCCCTGCAGGGGAATGTGGATATAGGTGGCATCTAGCACTGCCGTCACCAAACGTCTTCATAGCCTCTGGGTGAGTCCGCTGGAACAGTGTGGGACAGAGAGCCTGTGGCTTCAAAGGAACAGTTACTCTGAAATAAAGATATGTTTTTTAAAATCCTACTGCCGCGGCTAAAGTGCTCACTCTGGATAAATGTATAAAATGTTATTTCACTGCCTAACCGAATGACGTCTGAGATCAAGAAGTTTGAGATGAAAATAAAGGTAAACCGTGAAACCCGACACTGCCTTTAACAGCCAGCCTTTTATCAACCCTTACCTTGTTGTTGTTTGACATTAAAATGTTCCCTTTAATTTTTCAAATAAAACTTGACAGGTCAAAAAAAAAAAACATTCACTCACCTTAAGGTCATTCAAATTAAACCAGTTGACAGCTAAGCGCAGTAATATTTTGTATCAGATTGTTAATGCACAGTCAATGTTAGAGATTTCTGTAAAAACTGCAAAGTCCGACATCATGTAGCGCACGTCCCCGTTTCGGTCTTGGGCACAGAGCGGTACCGACGCCGGTCTCTCTGCGTGCCGTTCACGCGCATATTCGCGGGCACCGCTGCGTGGCGGCGTATTGATTGCCTTGATTCACTGGCGAGGTGCATGGAGATAGGCAGTGATTTTGGACTTGGAGCGCTCGTTAGTATTCTGGCCGGGAACGCGCCGCTCAGGCAGATGGAACGCGGCACTTCTGTTCTGTTGGCGTCAGACATAATAATGAGCGCGCGCGGAGCCCGAGTTCAGCCGAGGACACGCGAGTGGAGAGAAGCAGCCATGGTACCTATCTGCTGCATCCGTTGAACTCTTCAGTTTCCAGCACTTCCATCGTACCCATTGCTTTATTTTTCATTGGTATAATTAGCAATCACTGTGCGTTCTGTTAGCTTTTGTATTCAAAAGAAAGACCGCATGAAACTGTTGAAATGCTAAAGCTCTTTTCTATTTAAGGTTTAATCTGAGCTTCAGTACTGAAACCGATTCATACACAGAGACAATCTGCAGTAAGCACGGCGTCCCGCGGCTTCGCAGTTCGCATTAAATGCGACCATTACGTTAGTCTGCCACCTGCTGTCTGACCCGCGAAACTCCAGCGCTTAATCCGGGGGACACCCGAGCCAACTTTTTTTTTTTTTTTTTTCTTTTTACCGCATTCCATTCTTCTTGTGCAAAATGAAAACTACGTGATTACCTCAAAGTTAAACCGGTTGACCTACACATTTTAAATGTATTAACCATAGCCTAACATCTTACCAGGGCACTCATAAATCAATACAGATAACATTTGCTTGTCTGGTAGGCCTATTGCTTTGATTTTCTGCATTATCAACAACAGCACCTAACCAAATCATATCTCCGTAAAGTAGTTGACACGCGACAAATGACCAGGTTATATACAATAAGAATGACATTTGCCGTTACATAATGTGGTGTTTATTCAGTCGTTTTATCTTAGTTATTGAAAATTACGTCATTTGAAAACTTCACTTGCATGGACTGGGGTAATAGCCGGGGTAATATATATATACACCCACACACACACATACATACATTCATATATATATATATATATATATACACACACATACATATATATATATACACACACATATAGATACATAGATACATACATACATACATACACACACACACACGATATCCGTAAATTAGCACGGTCGCTCTCATTTGGAAATGATCTCCTTCTGGCTTCCGTAAGCTACTTGTGTTTGTGTAAGTGGTCCAAAAAGACGTCAAAGTTCGGCAGCTTGGCTCCGCAGTTAATGCCGGATATTTGTTGCGGTATTTACATAAGCATTCCGTTCACTAAAATGCCATTTTTTGGACCACATCAAAATCCTAAACGTAGATCTGCCATGCAGCCATCGGCTCGACTGAGGCGTATTAAGGGGCGTATTCACTGCATGGCTATAGCAAGCGGCACTGGGTAGTTTGATTAATTGTCTCATAATGGTTATAACCCCGCATATCCTGGGGTTGCCTCGCGGCGACGGGGAGCGCTTCTCAGCTGATTGATTTGAACCACCCATAGTTTTTGGTAGATTGCCTTTCTGTAGTCGATGTTGATTTTGATTTGTATGATAAACTGGATTTGGCGCTGGAGTACTACCAACGTTGAAGGATAAAAAAAAAATCATACTTAAAACTTAGCTGAATAATGGGAAGGCGTTAAACGGTCACAAAGTTATGGTTATTCCAACAATGTGGTGACTGGCTTTCAGGCCCACCGGTTGACAGAATGTAACTCTTTCACCTCTTGCCCTGGGAATGAAAGGGAAGGAAAGGGAGGAGGGGCGCCGTGTCCGTTTGGAAAGTTGCAGATAACAGTGCCGTCCCACTCCCACGCCCGGATAAGGTCCAGGCTCCAGCGGACCGCTTTATCCGAGGCGATACAACGCTATGGTCTGCTGTGCGACAGGACCATGCGAGCCGGCAGCACTGGTCTGCGCCGCCTTCTCCCGCGGCTCTGCCTGCTGATCATACCACTGCTCCTGGTCCTGCAGATTTTGGTCGGAGTGAAATTACCTGGGACTCACCGCGACGACTCCTCCCAGGAGTTCGCCTTCACCATAATTAGCATCGAGAACGGCCGGAGTCTGTCTCTACCGGACGGCAGCGTCAACTCCCGGAACGCAGAGAACGGGGGCCCCGAGCTCTGGGACGAGGAGGAGGGGCCCCGAGGGGCGTCCGGTCCACAAGGGTATGAAGCCCGGAAGGAAGAATCCCCACGGCAGGTAAATGACACATACAGCACTCGATATATGTGCAGAAAAGTCATTCATAAGACGACAAAGGGCACAGGACCAGCTTTGCACAACCCAACACTGGTATAAACCTGTCAGTGTATGAGGTGCAGTTTTAACTGACATTCCCAACTGCTCGCCTTGTGATGACACGAATGTACTGAGAGATTTATAACAGGCGCTGGGAAGTACAGGCGATCCGGCGCCCGATAAGCGTTTGTGGCGCAGCTGCAGTGTGACAGCGGGCGCCGATGGGGACCTCACCTTGCACAGTTGTCAGCAGTCTCACCAGTCGGTTAAAAAACCAGCAAAGACAGCAGCAGACGGCAGTATTTTGAAACTAAAATTAGCTCTAGCGAAGCTACCCTCTGTTTCCACGCCAAATGGAGAAACCGGCCAGTGCGCAAATGAACTTTCGCTTTGGTGTAAAAGGCACATGGTATAAATGCAAATCCGTCTTGAGATGCGAAATAACAAATCAGCATGTTTAATGTCACGCACCAAAATGGATTGCATCTGAAGGGCAAAGTTTCTTTTTTCCATTATTTTGCAACGGTAGGCTACCTCAGCATTTGCAACTACCAATGCATTTACATAAAGTTGGCCAATCTATCTACAAGGGTTATAGATGGTAATACCATCAAGTAAAACTGTTGCTCAGTGTATGCTACGCTGGTGGTGTCACGGTATAAAGACAGACTAAGGTCTCTGAGACATATCAAGTTGCATATAAGTTTAAATTTCTTTTCAATTTTGCCCCCACGTAACCTACAGATTTTAGCCAGTACTGTGTTTTTTTTGTTTTTTTTGCATCTTATACAACCAGATGATGCCACAGCCCCCACAGCGCATTTAGATGGCTTTTTGAGTGCCACGGTGGTGAGGTGTGGCAGCTGGGTACGCGTCGCTGGAGCCCGGCATGGGGGAGGTGCCAGCGGGCACGCTTGCGTGGTGCCTGATGCTCCAGTGTGGGAACGCAGACTAGCCTGGGAACAATGTACTGGGAATGGGAGCAGAGCTGGTCCTTGGCTAAGTGCTGGGCAATGGGGGAAGGTGCCGACGGGGCCGCCACACCAACACCCAGAGGCACCTTAGGCGCAGCGTGACGAGGAGGTGCGGCTCCTGCGGCTCCTTCCCCGGGGTGTAACCCAGTTTGTGTCCCCCACCATCTTCTCTCCTCTCCCATTCTCCTTTTTCGTGCTTCTCTCTCGGTGCACACCCAGCCCCCCAGGGAAAATCCTCTGACTCAGGCTTGTCTAGTGAGTCATTCCCCCACCCACCCCCTTTTTCTTGCTGGTGATCTCCATGGTGACATGTTGTAGGTGGTGGGGAAGGGGGGGGGGGGTCTGCGTACTGTTGGGGGTGGGGTGCAGTTGTTGGGTAGGAATGAGAATAATTCTCAGGGTATTCAAAACGCCAAATGCCCCCAGGTGGGGGCTAGAAACAGACACAGGAGACAGAAAGGTCCCAACCTCCAACCCTGCCATGGCTGGTTTTTCTGAACCGTAATGACCCCCCCCCCCCAAAAAAAAAAACTGGTCTGACAGACCCAAAGTATTCAGGCACTCAGACTTGCACTTAAATTATCGTGCTGTACTTACTCTCCATTTTCTGTGGTTTGACCTTCAAGTGTGACCTCATAACTTTACCCAGAATCCTCTGCTACATGTTTGGTCCAGCTGTAACATATTAAACGTGAGCAGTGGCCATCAGAGCACTTGCTGAGTAGCCCCGAATGCAGTATGGGAGCAGAGGGGCTCTTGCTCATTGGTACACCACCATACCAACTTGATCAATCAGACTCCATTAGGGCCAGACCCTCAAACCTTAGCCTGGGATGGAAATGTCAAGCTCTTTTTTTCGTTCAAGTCTGCTAACTTAAGGGATTATTTTGGGTGTTCTCTGTACATTCTGGCCCGTAGGGTTTGGCCGGCGTGGTAATACACTACGCTAACATTTGGGTTCTGTCTTAAAAATATCATCATTAATCACCCTGACAAATATTTTATAGTCATAAAAAAAAAAATCCCTTTCATATGGTCCACAATCCATTTAGGCATGTGCCAGAGCTCATTGTGTATTCAGGGATTGTTCTTCACCTACACTCAGCCACTGCACAGCATGTTGCGCTAATCTAACATGCAATCATGTTATTTGTCCATAGGAGGGCGCCAGGCAGCAGCTGGAGCTGTGGCCCTGGGCGGCCAGTAGTCCCTCTCTCACAGCAGAGGTGGAACGGTTTGTTACCTACATCACCACGCCGCAGGTAAGTCCACCTGAGAATCCGACACCACACCTTCTTATGTGTGGACTGGTCTTTCTGCTGCGCGTATGGACTCAACAAACGGCACCAGTGTAAAATACCTCTGCATTGTCCTTCCAAAACATCTTCTAACTACTTATCCTGGTCTGGGTTGCGGGACACTGAATTGTGTCGACTCATTTTGTATTTCATTGCTATCTTCAATATTTTAACAGTGCCATACAGCGTATATAGGAATGACCAAAACTGATAAATGCAAAGAATTATCACAAGTATGAATATTGGATTCAGTAGATAATATGCTTGCACAGATAGATGAAGTTGCTGCCTCTTTGTAATGTTTCTCCTGTAATCTGATCCCCAGTGGAGATGAGCCAAACCTCAATGTGCCACCAGAGCCCAATACACTGTCAGGCCAAATGTATGCGAACACCAGCTTATCCAGTATCTCATTCCAGAACTAAGGGTATTGATATAAGGTTGGACGGCCATCGTGGCGATAAAGCCTCTTCTCTTCTGGGTAGGCCTTCCAGCAGATACAGGAACCTGGCTGGTGGAACTTGCTGCCATTCAGGTTGGGCGTTGATGTTGGGTGGTCAGGTCCCTTACTGTGAGTTTGTAAGTGAACTCGCTCTTCTGTATGGCCAACCATTCTGCTGCCAATGTTCGCTCATGGAGATTGAACGGCTGTGTGCTTAATTATACACCTGTTTCAGCAATAGGTGTAGCTTAATAAGCCAATTTATCTTCTCTAATTAATAGGGGTGTCCACATACTTTTGGCCATGTAGTGTACATCTATCACGCATTGGTGATCCAGTGACATTCGCCTTCTGTCCCCCTGTAAAGGTGCAGTGTTCGCAGGTGCTCCTTCCAGGCGAGTCCCAGGCTGAGTCCCAGGCCAGCTCATGGGCCTTGTGTGCGGATGGCTGGAAGCTGCCGCTGGATCAGCCGCGGTCCTGCGTCTCCTACTCCTTCAGGTATGTCGTCATATACTGACATTTATGAAGACACACTTTTTGGACCAATTGAAGCTTCTCGTCTCTTTGCCAGGCCAAGGCCATTCAGATGATGAATTTGTGCAGGTGAGAACCTGTTGGACAGTTACTCCACTTTTTCCACCTGTTCTGCTGTCTTCAGCATGGACCAGAAGGACAGAGCCTTTGTGGAGAAGATGCTGTGGGCGGGTTGTGAGGTGCACCAATTTGACCCAAGTCCAAGGAGGGAGTCTGCTTCAGGCCAGGTTCAGCAGCACCGTATCTGGATTGACTGGCGGGGGCCCCGAGGAGGGGTGCAGAACAGACCTGGACATGGCTTACCCAGGAGGCTGAGTGCCATCATGGACGCCCTGGGACACAGAGAGGTGATAAATTCACCATCTGACTCTCCATTGCTTCAGCAACACTTTCTGTGCCACAGAGAGCCTCCATGGCAACAGTGTCCACTGTCTCACACATGCACGCTTCCAGCCCCTCCAGTGGGGACTTGGACTCCGATCAGTCCTGAAAGCTGTTAGTGCCTAGCATTTCCACAAGGTGTCATTGTTTCCCCATTAGCTCAGCTTCACTTCATTGGAGAAAGTCGTCAAGTCCAGTCTGGAATGTCTTTGCCCATTAAATAACTCTACAACTAGCCTCTGCCTTTCATAATGGCAGATGTTTGACCTCAGTTGATGGCTAAAAATATGATACTTTTAAAAATTCATAATTACTTAACTTCATTATTTTGTACCTGGACAATTAAAACGTTATCATACAATTATCGCCAAGCGAATTAGTCTGTGCATGGTGTAATTTCTGAATGTGTGCATGACTGGGTGCCTACAATGAATATTGACTCAGCTATATAATGTGTGTCCATCTGTGCATTTGCATCCTGGCCTATGTCTGTGTCTGATTGCTGAAGATATCTGACCATCTGTCCCCCTCCATGTTCTGTTCAGGTTCATTTTCTAAACGCGGACCTGGAGAGCGCAGAATGGCGTGTCCTGGAGAGCTGGGCTCTCGACGGCACCCTGGGTAGAATCCAGCAGCTGCTCCTCACAGTGCACCTGCAGTGGGCCGGGTTCGAGGTGGCCGGCAGTGACACCGAGGTGGTGCGCTTCTGGTACAGTGCCATCCGTGGGCTTGGCGCGGCGGGTTTCAGCCTGCTGCACAGTGCCACGGGCACTGGGAACACCATCCTGCGGCACCCACTGCCAAAGGTGCACAGCACGTACACGCTCACCTGGGTCAAAACTGAGGGGGTGCTCGGCAGTGACTGAGTCACATAACTATACAAGCACCCACCAACTAAGTCAGAAGGATGAACTTTCCCAGAAAGAGCAAAGCTAGATTCTTTGAATACGAAGGATGACCTTGAATCTTTTTTTTTCTTCTTGCAATTAAACCAGAAAATAAGTTTTTCCCCTTTCTGCTTGCGTTTTGTTGTGTTGCATACGTCTGGAGCACTGAAAGGTTGCGACTTCGATCAAGGAGAAGAAACTACGCCGCCGTAAATAAGGACGCGGACAGTCAGCGTCTCCACCGGACCCCGGTGAAATGTGTCCGACACCTTTCGGTACCTGCGTGACACCGGTCAACGCAGTGCGTTAAGAAATGGCTTTGAAACGCCACCCCGAAGCTTCTCTTAAGTCGCCATTTATGTTTTTAAAGAATTGTATCCTGTTTTATTAACGTTGTTTCACTTTGTAGTAGTCATCTGATATTTATAAAGATTTTAGTAAAAAAAAATTTAAGTTGTCATATCTTTTGTATTAATTCAATATAAAGTACCGCAAACATCTTGCTCGCCTGTAGTACTTGGTATAGAAACATAATTTGCATTATAACGAGCCATTATAAAGTAATCGTGGATATCAGCGTCATGACATTTTATCATGATGTTTATTAAATGGGGTTCTGGTCGGTAGTATTTAAGCTGTTCTTATCTGCGGCGATTCCCGGCTGGTCACATTTGTTCACAGCAGCTGTGCAAGAAGAAAGGAAGACTTGTCAACGACAGTAGTTGTGTCTGCTGATCAGGTTCCCTCCAAAGACGTATTTTACCCACTAGCTTTACGAGACCTGAGCGGAAGTTGTGCCATATTGCCACGGCTCAGCAAACTCTACCACTGACTTTGCTCCAACAAGCCCAGCACTGAGGAATGCCGTGACTCCCCACCCTACTTCCATTCTGAATCAAATATGCGAACGCCACGGAAGATGTTTACCAGTTATTTGGGTGGAGTTACGCAATTTACGTCCATATTTCCATATCCGAGCGCTAGAACAAAATTGACGTGCTAGCAGCCAATCAATTGTTACCACACCGCTGCGGCGACCAATCAAAAGTACGCAAATCTGGGACCTTCTGCGCTTCTGCTTGAGCTTCTAGTTGCGGTCAATGTAGACTTTTTTTCCTCGGTGCCAAGAATTCTCAATTTAAAGATGATAGTTTGCACAGATCGTACGTGAACAACTCGAGGATCACACCGTTAGCGAGTTTTCTCACCCGGAAAGGTAGGATTCCTTCAGTGTCTGTGCTACTCATCTAAATACTAAGAGCTGTAGTTTGAACAAAACGCCTGTCAGATTTTTTTTCTATCGGCGCTGCTTCCATAATTATGGGTGTTTTCGGTTTACTTCCTGCTAAAGTTCAGATAACGAAACCTTTGGTAGAATAAGAGTTTTTTTCCAGTAGAGGGGCTCGTTTAAGAGGAATGTTCGTATTATATGTTCATACTCTGTCCCTAATTTGGGATGGTGATGATGGTGGTAAAAGAAATACGATTGTTCTTCGAGAGCTAAGAAGGTCCATGTCGAGAGTGAGATCAGTCTGGGCGCTGGCTGCAGTTAGCACTTTAGCTCCCAAGCTAGCTAAGAAATGAAATACTTTTTTCCTAAGATGACTGTTGAAGTTTTCTTTAGCCCACATGGTACTTTGGTCACCCTTTCTTGACTGTCAGCTTACATTACGAAGCTTGTGTCTGAATGTAATTTACGAGAAATACCGCCTAAGTGCGTTAGAGAGTAACGGGGAAGGGGCTCTGCGTGCTGTTAGGAGAGGCAGCTCATCCCGGCCGGTAACTCTGCTCCCTTCCAGCTTTTTATGTCAGCTCGGTGTGACCCGGAACGATGCGGGCCGGTACCGGTCCGGCTGCTGGGCTCCGCGGCCCTCTGCCCCGCGCGAGGGAGCCAAACCGCCGCCGCCGCCGCCGCACGTCCGTCCGCTTCTCTCCGGCTCAGCTTCACTCTTCACAATGCGCTTCTTCTTTTAAAATATTCTCTTCAAAGGAAGCCGTTTGTCATTTTTTCCTCCTTTACAGTAATATGTCGGTATAGCCCCCCCGCCCAAAGCATATACCGTCTTGCTTAGGAGTAAAAACGAACCCTTAAGACGCTGGCAGAATATTGTACTAATATAATTGCCTTCAAGCATTAATTATTTTGCCTATCAAAAATGTCAATAAAATAATGTTGCTTATTTTGGCGCAACCTAATTGCGTGCATGTAGATTTCACCCAGCATTTATGTTCTTTTTCAGTTAGATTTGTGAGAGCTTCCTATGTTTTGTAAATTTTACATATTATACGCTTTATATTTTGTAGCAAACGTTACACAGAATTTTTCTGTATACAAAATTCATACTGTGAACGCAGTTTTTTTCGGTCCCTACACGATGTTTAATAGGCCACAAAGAAAATATTTCAATTAGCTATTTTAATCTGATAAAACGTATATTATATTGAAACACAGACTCTTTAATCCTGCTTTACTCTGTCTGCTGACACGAATGCATTTATTTCAGCGTGTTGTACCAAGTGATGAGGGATGCGCGACCATTACTAGGAAGTCTTTGGGCTATTTGCTGTTTTGAATGGGGAAGTTAAATTCGACTTGCATAAAGTTTGACTTGCGCAGGGGTCTGTGGAACATGTTACTTGGGTCAGGCGAGAACTGCCTGTACTCCACAGCCTTGTCTTCTTGGGACAGTTTTTTTCCTCAGCTATTTTTTAAATCTCTCTGTAGTCCTGCAGACAGTGATATGCATTCCTGTCTTTGCAGTATAGTTTTGCTTCTGCTTTTG